AGGAGAAAATATCAGCCGTAATAGACCCGATACGGAAATGTTTTCGGTTTTCGATGGCCAACGAATAAGTAAATTTCTAGATGTAAGGGCAAAAACTCTTTTGCTAATTTGTGAAAGAAAAGGCCTTAATATTTAAAAAACTGGCATAGTTGAAGACAAATAGTCTAAATAATGCAAAACAATATATAGAAGTATATTGGTAGATATATACATTGGGGGTAAAAACACACTAACTAGAATATAGATGCACAAAGATAGGTGAGACTGATTGAGCATACGCGCAATTAGATACAGACCAGAAGAAATATAAACCTGTAGAGAAAGTATGACGGATAAATACTTCTGGAAGGGAGCCAGACAGACAAAGCTGAGGCTATATATACAGATAAATATGGTAGGTGACTAGATAGATATATGGCTGGATAGGTATTTAATAAATTAAATATAATGAGGATTCGTTCAATAAATGTTACTCAGGGTAGCAATTCCTTTACTGGCACCCAATTGTATATAGTTTTAGCTCATTTACCTCTAGTTGTACCCTGTTTCTGTCTCCACCAATGATATATTCTTTTATAAGAACTTTGTAAACTTATGTTATTCAAGGTGCTTTGAGGACGGATAGTTGATTTTTCCAACAATACGGTAAGTAGGCCTCATGATGCCATCGAATTTCACTTAGCCTTGCCTCACAAAGGGCTACTTCATCCAGGTTGGACCGCAGTTTAGTACACGCCCTGAAACGGATTCGACATTGGTCCATGAACGTTGTGACTACGCTACCATTTCATCAAGCAGTACTAGACGGTTGCAAATGGGTCACAGTGAGGAAATGGCATTCAAGGCAAGGTTGATCTAAGCAGGTTCGAAACTACTATTCACATTTGTAATCAACTCTCCTTGTTTAAATCACTTTAAGTGACGTGAGGTAGCATACACCGAAGGTAAATCATATTTGCCTATTGCCATGAGGTTGGTCCGTTTTCTTGACTGCTTGATAATCCATCGTCCGGCCTGTGTTCATTGATACCAACCTTTCTTCATCCCTTACTGTCAACTACTTACGCTAATTGTTGACATACGAATAGTCGGATCCGAAAAATCGAGGACGAAATGGAGGAGAGAGAGAGGGTCGTCGACCTGGTCGGTCGTCAACTGGCCTCAGCTGAGACGCGTTGGCGACAAATGGTTTTAGATAAGGAGGCTGAAATGGCCAGACTCCAAGACATGCTTGAAGCTTCCAGACTTTCTCAGCATGACAGCCAACCGATCCTGGAAGATCTTGCTCGTTTACAGGCAGAGGTGGCGGAGCTGCGTGAATTTAACGCCGAACGACGGGGTATTACATTTCAACCGGTCCCGGATCTACCGGTTTCTGTGGATAAGTAAGTTGAGAAAGAGAGCCTCGTGGATGGTCTTATAGACCTTTAAAACTTTTTCATTCAAGGTCTTCTCACTTGCTCGAGAGGTGTTTAACTGTCAGAAAGCTCAGCAACATTTGACGAAGGATGCGTCCCCTCATGTTCTACCTGCCATAGCGACGCCATTCTTTGGTATATGGAATTAGTGAATAGTCAGCATTAATCAATGCAAGTTGCTTCTGATGCATAAACCTTAATAATTCGTCAATAAGTTAAACTCATTCATCTTGACAGTTCGAGGAGAGTCTTAATATTAACAGCCATAGTGATTAGATTAAGGAAGAAAGCTATCTTAAAGCTTTGTTCACTATCCCCAAACAGCAGAGGGAAACTAAGAACTCTAAATTATAGAAATTCTCAACTACTTTTGAGAACTACTTAATTTCGTCTAAACCTGCCAGCATGCACAGATCCAGGCGTGCAACTGGTTCCCAGCAATGCGAAAAAGGCCTAATAACGTCGTTGATAATATCACTAATTATATATACTTCGCTAGTACAAATTGCCTCTCAAATACGTATCTTAAGCAAGATCTTTTATGATGTTTATATCTTCATATCCTATATCTTGCTCCTTATATCTTTGTTGTTTTTATGTGTCTGCTTATCTGTGACACTAAATGCCTCTATGATTCCCGATATTTCTGTCTGTCAGTGAATCGACTTGCCTATTGTATGTGCATTTCTGTATGGATATATACTTATGTTTGCTTGCATATTCACCCATACTTATGCAAATTTATACACAGTTGTCCATGCCAAAAATCTAATCAGTAATTTCGCCCTATATATGTAAGAAAACGACTTGAATGTTTTATGCAAATGGACGAATGTAATCCAGTGGATCTAAATCTACAAACATCTCAAATAAATCCCATATCCGCTCTCGAGCAAATCACATAAAAACTAACTTGATTAAATTTACTACTTTGCTCTACAAATTATATAAAAATCCGCCGTGCATCATATTAAAAAAATAATTTTCTAGAATGGTTTTCCGGAGCTTTGCGTTCAATTTTTACGACAAACTGCTATACCGAGCGCATAACAATCAATTGACCCTATTCCTCAAGCTGCCCGTGAGGTGGACAAGAATATCCATGTATCGTGCAAATTAAAGGAAAATCAAAGTCACCTAGTGTGTGTTTTACCATTACATCATTAATTTAACCTTCTTGGTTCACACTCGGTGATGTTATGTTTCCGTTAGAAAATTGTAAAATAATTACAGGTAGCGTCTGTAAAGCGGTAAGTCCGAATTGTGGTATAGTCAGCTCTGTTATGATGCCCTAGGTTTTTGGTACAATGATTAACTGGCTTGAGAACGTCGTTGAGGATAAGCGAGTTGCAATTGAATACCAGACATAGACTTGGGACTAATGCTTAGGACATGTCTCAAAGTCTTAGCTTCCGTTTCTCTGTTTTCCATTTCCTAGAATTTCCTTTTGATCTAATTTCCGCCCGCTCAAACCATGCGATTTGGTGCCTGCAAAATTCAGAGTACTCATTCGCATTTTTGAGTAGACTCATGGACTTGTCATTTAAATAGAGTTTAGTTAAATAAAGGACTTTGGAGTTAGCTTTTTAGGCAGTCTACCCTTTTCAAAAGGCGACTTTTCATTTTCTTAAATTAGTTGGAGCATGTAATTAGTAAGGCTTCGTTTCTTGTATATTAAGAGCATGAATATTACCGAGACTCACTCGTTTCTCTGAATTTTAATTGGTCTAATATCAAGCCATTTTATAATACAATGGATTAAAGTTTTGTTTTTTTCATTAGATTCTACTGAAACAAGCATTTAAGAAGAGCGTACACATTCAGCCTGAATTGTAGTGTCGAAAATATCTCCTCATCCTTTCAACAGCCTCATCAGTATTCAATCAGTGAGCGTGCGGATCAGAAGACAAATAGGCTGTCCCCAGGCCACATGACCATATTCTCCTTGAGTTAAATGGCGAGTATGGCTTTCAAGAAATAGTAATAGGGGTTTCGATGCATGGGAAATGAAAACGTCAAGACAACTATCTAGTCTTCCTTCACTTCATCATGAGCAGCCTTGCTATGAGTAGAATAGAAAAACCATATACGAAGAAAAGTTGGGTTTCGAGGAATCTCTTGTTTCATAATTGTTGGGATTACTTCTATTTCGAGTGGAAGTGTTGGGTGAAGAGATTCGAAGGTCGGTTCCACCAGAAGACGACGGCGAATGTTCGAGTGAAAGTGTTGCGTGAAGAGATTCGAATGTCGGTTCCACCAGAAGACGACCAGTGACGGATTCCGCTTGACCAGCTGTCGATTGGCTTTACTGGAAGATTCATGCTGACGCTGTTTCCGAGGCAATCTCCTTCGATTACGGTGAACACGAGCTGAGCTTTCGTCCGTCATTTGACGGACATCATCAGAGCGAGGTAACATCGTCACAACGAGTCAAGAAAACTCACCGGCAAATCCCTAAAAAGTGGTATATATACTCTGCAAAAAGGAGGCGACTTAACTAGACTTTTCTTGTTTTGGTTCTAATGATAGTCAATTCTCTGCC